CTCTCTTTCCAGCTTGGAATGACAGAATGGGTCACCTGCCAACCAACGAGTAGAATTGATGGAGACGGACTAATGTCCTGAGACGTCCCATGTTGTATCTACTTACCTGTGTACATGTATGCCATCGCAGGACGTAACCCCTCATCATTGCAGCGGTAAAGAACCTGCTTTCCTGTCATCTTTACTGATTATTCGCAGCTATACTCTGTGAAGAACGAGCCGTTGGGTTGTCACCAACACCTGCGACCCCCCCCCCCCATCATCAGCAACGGCTAGGATTTCAACAACACACAGTGTCACCAACACCAGACACCCCAATATCAATATATATATTAGCATTGAGTTCAAATGTTATTTTTTTCATTTCATTTTTCATTTTTCTTTCAAATAGGATATACCTTTCATATTTTCTTGTTTTATGTTTGCTTTAATAAATAATAAAGTGTTTATCTTTGTGAATTATTATTTCATTTTCTATTCATTAATTTTCCTGAGGAGGAGCCAGCCTTGGTAATACTCTCTGAAGTTGTTACAGGGCTGAGTAACCCTTCACAAGTGGCGACCTTGCCAGGATACGACTCGACTGAATCAAGATTCAACTCCATCTCGAATCTACCATTGGAACTTCAACGCCACATACCACAGACGATTACCACCAGCCATGAGTAATCATTCTCTATGGTAGGACTACAGTACAGGTATTTAAAAGATTTGGTGATTGTTATAGTCTCAATTTATTGCAAGTCAAGTCAAGGCAGGATATACTAGTTAATTCTGCCACCTATTTTTGTGTTAGCTTGAAACACTTTGGAGGATTAGACTCTAGGGACCCGAGATTTTCCAGTGACAATTTGTTTCATTGAGCTCTTTATTATATCAAGGGAACTGTCGTAGGACACTCTTGATTTGTTGATGAGAAGATTGGATGGTCAAGGGACCCCATTCTACTTACTGTTTGCTCGGAGCCGGCATAGAACCCTTCGTTTTCATTAATACATATTGTTTAATTGAAGCAGGGATCGAGCCCTCTAGTTTATTTATAGTTTGAGCGGAGCAGGAATTGAACCCTCCGTTTTCTTTGAGACCCGTTTCATTTTTCCCCCTGGTAGTTTAAGTTATTCTTGCAAGTATGGAGGAATACCAGTTTTGGATGAAAGCTGGAAGTAAGTTAGGAATAACAGGGAAAAATTTAGAATCTTTCATTAGTGCTAAGATCCAGGAAAGAATTGAAAGAGAGAGAATTGAGAGAGAAATGAGACAGAAAGGGAATAACAAGAGGAAAAGGAGAGAGAGAGAATCGAAAGAGAAGAGGAAAAGGAGAAAGAGAACCTTGAAAGACAGGAGAAATAGGAGAGAGAGAGAATTGAAAGAGAAAGCCAAGAAAGACAGAAAGAGAGCGCAAAGACAAAAAAGAGCGTGATAGACTTGATCGTGAGGAGAGAGCTAAAGTACGTGAGGAACAAGTTAAATTAAGAGAACTTGAGGAAAGAGCAAAGGCTAGAGAACGTGAGGAAATAGCTAGAGAACATGAGTTAAGAGAGAGGGAAAAAGATCGCGAGCTCGAAAAAGCTCGCCTTGAATTAGAGAATAAAAAGTTAACTTTTACACAACAACAATTAGAGGAAGGAGTAATTGAACATCATGCAGCTAGTGCACATATTCCAACACCTAATTTACCTCCCTTCACAGAGGGTGAAGACATTACTTCATACATTATCAGGTTTGAAAATACTGCTACCCTCTGTGAATGGCCTGCTGACACCTGGGCTACCAGGTTAGGAATGTTATTTTCTGGTACAGCTTTGAATATCTATGCAACTTTGTTGCAGGATATCATATGTAATTATAATCTACTGAAGAAGGCAATCCTTAAAGCATATCAAAAAACCACAAATTCTTACAGGAAAAGATTTCAGGTATGGCCACCTTACAGCCTGGTCAAACTTTCAGCAGTTACAGGTAACACTCTTTCGTTTGTTCGACTTTTGGATAGAAAGTTCAGGAATTGATCACAGTTATGAATCTCTTAGAGACTTCATGGTTGCTGACCAGTTCCTGACAGCTCTTCCTCACCAGATACGAACATTCATCAGAGAACGTAAAACCCGATTAAAGCTGATGAAGTTGCTGAGGCCGCTGACTTGTATGCTGAGGCTCACAATTCCTATAAAGACCTAAAGGGATCGAACCTTAAGGGCAATGGTTCACCTGAACCAAAGATTAAGAAGCCTACAGTAGAAAAAAAGTCACCAGCTATTATACCAACATGTCATCGGTGTGGTGGTATCGGACATAAACGTCCAGACTGTCCTTCCAAGAAAATAGAGAAAGTTGGAAGATGTTTTGTTGACGGTAATGACCAAGCACCCTTCTGTTCAGGAGCAGTTAATGGTATAAAAGTCTCAGACATATTACGTGACACTGGATGTACTTGCATCATAATTTCGGACAAACTGTTCCCTTACTTTAAAACCTCTCGTGTGTCCACTATTCTTTCAGATTACTTGGGTCGTGAAAATACTTTCCCTACAATTCGTTGTTACGTGAAAACTAAATGGTTCACCGGTTGGACTAATGCGGTACTAGCCCCAATTACTTGTTCTATAATAGTGGGTAACATTAAAGGTGCCGTTCTTCCTTCAGAGGCGGATCTTTCGTCACCACCCATGGATCTAAGTTTTCCAGCTCCTCTTCCTTGCAAGTTTAAGCCCCTTAACAATTCCGCACTGGAAGCTGCATTATCTCGTACTGTTCATTTGGGGTGGAAACAGATGATACTGCTCTCGATAGTGAGGTAGCAGGATCACCTGTCCACTCGTCGGGTGAAAGTAAGGGTATTGCCTCCCGCACCCTCAATGTCTTGACTGGGACTCGGACCATAACCCCGGCTTCTCCTACCTCTTCTCCCACCGTAAGTCCTTTTATTTTCCCAGATTTTATGTCCAAGGATGACTTTGTCAATATACAGCACAATTGCCCTTCACTTCGGGATTGTCATAATCAAGCTTTTAACAACAAAGTTATCCACGGGAGATACGTATCTCATAAGTTTGAATATATTAATGGTATCTTATATAAATCTGTATTTAAATCTCATTCTTCAGTGATAGATTATTCCCTCCTTGTTGTTCCTAAACCATGTCGAGAGACTGTTCTTCAAATGGCTCATGATTTGCCAGTGACCGAACACTTGGCCCATCGTAAGACGTGGCATAAACTCGAGCACACTTATTTTTGGCCAAGCATGTACTTACAGGTTACAAAGAAGTATAGTTCTTGCAATAGGTGTCAGGTGCTTACTGCACAAAATACACACACTCCTAGTTCCTGTATATTTATTAAATCTAAAACTTCCCTCCTGTAGAAACGAGATACTCCACCATAGAAAAAGGAATGTTTGGCCATTGTGTGGGGTATCTCCAAGCATAATTTTTATTTACGGGGAAAAGAATTCATTTTAGAAATGGTTCATCTAATTATTTCTCTGACTGGTTAAGTCGTGACAGTCAGTAGAAGATTTGTTGCCTTACGCGACTTCCACGTGTTAGAACTTTTTCCTCGCCTATTCTTCTTATACTCCTTGACTATAAGTCTTGGTATGGGGGAGTGTGAGGGAAAAGTTCAACAGATAGGAGTATCGAGCAAGTACATGGTAACAATAGTTTGATTGCCAGCTGCTTGTTAAGGTAGGGTAAGTCTAGCTCCCGCTATCCCCCCCCCTTCCTTTCCCCCCCCCTGAAAGGTGATGTGTGGGGCTCTAGTCAAACAGTAATCACTCGACTCACAACTCCCAGCACTACTGTAAGTACACGCCTGCTTATATTCTAGTGGACTTATTGGTTGAAAGCTTCACTTTTGACCAATAATAAACTTAGTCCTTTCAGTCTTGCTTGATGTTAAATGTCTTAATAATCACCACGTCTTTTAGGTATTGTACTTATCATGGAGAGTGATTTCTTAAGCAGTGGGTAACCTGTCTCTCTTTCCAGCTTGGAATGACAGAATGGGTCACCTGCCAACCAACGAGTAGAATTGATGGAGACGGACTAATGTCCTGAGACATCCCACGTTGTATCTACTTACCTGTGTACATGTATGCCATTGCAGGACGTAACCCCTCATCATTGCAGCGGTAAAGAACCTGCTTTCCTGTCATCTGAACTGATTATTCGCGGCTATACTCTGTGAAGAACGAGCCGTTGGGTTGTCACCAACACCTGCGACCCCCCCCCACCCCCCAGCATCAGCAATGGCTATGATTTCAACAACACACAGTGTCACCAACACCAGACACCCCAATATCAGTATATATATTAGCATTGAGTTCAAATGTTATTTTTTTCATTTCATTTTTCATTTTTCTTTCAAATAGGATATACCTTTCATGTTTTCTTGTTTTATGTTTGCTTTAATAAATAATAAAGTGTTTGTCTTTGTGAATTATTATTTCGTTTTCTATTCATTAATTTTCCTGAGGAGGAGCCAGCCTTGGTAATACTGTGTGAAGTTGTTACAGGGCTGAGTAACCCTTCACAGCCACATTAGGAAGGACTAAACTCTTAGGGGGTGTCATGCAGTACTTGGGAAAATGGGAGATAAAGAAATTTAATTCAAGAAAAGGGAGGGGGAGCTCCAATTTCTTGAATCAAGAGCCCTTCAGCAGCAACAAGGCAACATCCTTGAACAGAGTAAAGTAGAAGTATGAATCAGGAAGCTTGCACCATGGGCAGGAGTACAGGTACACAAGAGAATTAAACAAATGACTTAGTGTACAAAAAAGTGATTGAACAGTCTGTTACTGTTATTTAAAGACTACATTATCAGGCCACTGTTGCAAATATTGTAGTATGCTGCTTCATGGAAGCAAACTATTGATAATAAAAAATGCAATTTAGTTATAACACAAAATTGTCACAACATTAATACAGAATATACAGAGGCATACTTTAGTGTTAAAGCAGACAAGCAAATTTCTATCTCATGCACAAAAAATTCTATACCTGCGCCAATGAGCCATAGCAAGAGAATAACACTCCTTAAACAGGTCACGCCACTCGTCAATTATGGGCCCCACAACAGGCATGCTTGTAAAACAAAAAATATATATATTATGCTAATCTCATTATTCCAAACCACATGTGTGTGCTGTAAGCTAAAAAAAAAATGAAGGGGAGGGAGCAAAGAAGGCAAATGTAAGGTATTGTATTAGTAACTATGTACAATAGAACTACACTTGCAATTACAACTTCATACTTCCAACTGTGAAAATGCACAACTGATATTTACAACTGTCAGCAGTTATATATACACTACACAGCATTCTCAAAGTGCAGTCATGCAATTGCTCTTCCAATATTTCTCACCAAAGGTGCAACACATTGCTTCAAAGAAATCTAGATTACTGAGAAAACTTTTTAAATATGTAGCCCACTTACAGCTTCTCCTTACCATAGTACTGTCACTACACTTTAATACAAAACACGTTATTGTTTTTTCCACCATGGTAAGGTGATCCAAAGAAAACACATTTACCATTGTTCATTGTAAAACTGTCTTGCATGAAGTGCCTGGATACCACAATTCAAATGATCCTCCATAATACAACATTCACACTTGTCTTTCAGAGTGTAGGTGAGTACTGTATTTAGTAAAATTAAAACACTGTAATACTGTAATTAGTCAGTGTGAAAAACATGCCATTTATGACAGCAATATACAAGTTTGAGGTTATTAAAATTGCAACACTGAATCTCAGAATATTTTCGTTGCCAGTGAAGAAATTCTGCCAGCTCCAAGAAGCCAAGAAAGTTGCATAGCATCCCCCAATTGGGGTTGTGACCCTGGGGTCAGGATCCTCTGCCCCGGGGTAATACTTACACATCCTTAGTAATACGTACACTACAGTCAGAAAAATGAGTTTAATTAAGATCTGAATCTGTCTACATCACTTGACTTCAACAGTGTATGAGACATGTTAAACAGTGTTACATGTTTTCAACAGTGGTTAGTGAGCAAGGCAATCCAAAGAAAGTTTGCTGGTACTACAATACACGAGTTACTTCTAAAATACCGGACAAACTGCTTTACAATATGACAAATAATTGATGGGTTGGGAGATCTCATTTCTCGTACCCTGTTGAAGACATGTTAAACAGTGTTACATGTCTTCAGCAGCGTATGAGACATGTTAAACAATGTTACATGTCTTCAACAGTGTATGAGACATGTTAACCCCTTCAGGGTCCAAGGCCAAAATGTGAAGTGGTGCTCCAGTGTCCAAGAAATTTTGAAAAAAAAAAAAAAAAAAAAAAAAAAAAAAAAAAAAAAAAAAAAAAAAATTATTTTTTCTTACAGAATTAAAGAGCATAATTTTGTGAAGGTAATAAGACAAAAAAAAAAAATTCTGATCAGTACTAACCAAGATACAGTGCCGAGAAGTTTGTCCAAAATGACGTGGTGGCGGCAACATCGACGAATTCCACATACGCGCATTACTTTATTTAGCAGTTTTTGTAGTTTTTTCTTTTCTTTTCCAATTTTTTTCTTTTCCTACTAACATATGGGGCCTGAGAGACCAATACTGTATATAATGTATATATATAAACTCACTGTATTGAACACAATAACCACACTAAAGTTATTATCATATTATTGTTTACCACTGTTGTTTATTACAATAAACATGCACAAATCTTGTATAATACTAATGTTCTATCATATATTTACATATTTACAATCACTGGACATGGTTTTAGAACTGCTGGAGCTTGTGAAACTCCTTGAAACAAGGCACCATGCACATTCCTCACACATAAACCGAGTGTCTTTGCGTCTTTGTTGCCGTCGTTTTGTTTGTGCACAGACGATGCATCTCTGAGCAAATTTCTTCTGAGTTGAAGGAAGCTGTATTATGAAATGATCACCTTCCCTCCTCAAATGCTTGGGTATATCCTGAGGAATTCGAGGACCTTGTTGTATAGCAGATGTTCTTACCTGGTACTTCATTATGAGTTGTCTGACAACAGACAAACAAAATTCACCATACGGTGGTCTGTTGCCAGTCTTCATTTGGTACATATTATAAGCATTGAGCATTGAAATGTCCATGAGATGGAAGAAAAGTTTCATGCACCACTTGTAACTTTTACGAACACAATCAACAAAACCAATCTGCATGTCACATTTGTCAACCAAGCGCATGTTTTGTGTATAATCAATCACTGTCACTGGTTTTCGAATACGTTCATTAGTCACTCGATCAACTTTGCCAGTCTTGCATTTCATTACGGTGAATGGTTGTCAACAATGTGACATCTCATTTGTCATGCCACCGTAATGCCATGATGTCATTGGCAGTAAACACCTGCACGTCATCACCACAAGCACCTGCGTTGAGCCTGGGCATATGTTTATGATTAGAACGCACAGTGCCACACACATCTGTCTTGTTCACTCGCAAGAAATCACTGAGTAATGGGCTTGTGTACCAGTTATTAGTATATAATGTATGCCCCTTACCAAGATAAGGTGCCATCATGTTTCTCACTACGTCACCTGAGATACCCAATAATATCTTGGTATCTTTCAATGTTTTACTTCCCGTGTATACAACAATATCCAACACCAGGCCACTGTCACAGTCACAGAGTACAAACAGTTTTATACCAAAGCATTTCCTCTTGCTCAGTATATACTGCCTGAATGACAGCCTACCTTTGAACAAAATCAAAGACTCGTCAATTACAAGATTCTTGAATGGATAAAAGTATATGCTGAACTTTTGTTTGAGATACATAAAAGCATTTCTAATCTTGTATAACCTGTCACTTCTGTCAGGCCTGGTTTTGTCAAAGAAGTGCAACATACGTAACAGTAAGATAAACCTGTTCACTGGGATGATTTCACTGAAGACCGGGGTATAAATTAGCCGATCTGTGGACCAGTATGCTTTTATATTATGCTTATAGACATGAGGCATAAGCATTATTGTTGAAAAAAGCAAATACATTTCTGCAACAGTTGCCTCTTTCCACTGGTGTAATCTTGACTGTGGTGATATGATCATATTTGCCATGGTGTACTCAAAATACTTATTACTTTCCCTGACAATGGCTGGCCAAAGAATAATTCAAAGAATTCCAGTTCATTGGCCGTGGTTCCAAGGGGACAAGTAGGTAGAATTCCACTTTGAGAGTCATCAAAGTGGTGGGGCTTGGGAACAAAATTGGGATTTTGCTGCCAATCCCAGATACGGTTTGCTGGTGGATACTCGACATCATAGGCTGGTTGTGCGGGTGGTTGTGGTTGTGGTGGGCTGGTGGCTGACACTCCGCTTTGTCCTTGAACTGAGGAGTCAGCAGCGTGGGTCCCAGCCTGGGCTGGTGAGTCACGCATGGTGGTGCCACTAACATCACCACTACCACCATCTGCTGATGCCTGTGGTCTATCCATGCCAAGTGTAGCCACATCATCCTCACTATTACTATCTAAACCTGGTGTAGGGCCACGGGATGTACTCCGGAATGTACTCTGTCCCCTGGGCACAGCATAGGGTACACTACCCGAGCGCATGCGGCGGCGTACATACCGACGCTTCACTGGTGAATATGATTCCTCACTATCACTACTCGAATGATCGTCAAGAGCAATAAAATCACAATCCACGTCACTATCATCATCATTACTGAAGTCAGAGGCCTGGCCACGGGTAAATAATAGTTTTCTCTTGCGTTGAGGTACAACTGACAGTGACTGATGAGTGCCCACACCAGAGGTAGAAGGTTGAAGATCGTCAGGGTTTTCCGCACTATTATCGATATCCTGGTCATTCCTTTCGGTCACTAACTGATCAAAGCCAAAGAATTCGTCTTCATTTCCACTTCCATCAGTGTCAGAACTATCAGATAGGAATAGGAGAGTCCCAATTTTCCGTGGAGTGAGAGCTGACTTGCGACGAGGCATGGTGAACAAGGGTAACTGAGCCGGCGTTCCCACAATGCTATGTGGGCGCCTAGATTTTTTGTTTATGGCGCACACCCACCACGCAGACCCGTTCTCTCATATGTAGGCCTATGAGTGCTTTCTCGCTAAATTTGACGGCGCTAGAATTTTGGCGTAGATCTACGGTTTGGACACTCAACGTGAAGCCGTAGATCTACGGGACGGACCCTGAAAGGGTTAACCCCACACTAACCAGCCAGGGCACTTCGCCACACAAACCAGCCAGGGTACTTCCCCACACACCAGCCAGGGTACTTCCCCACACAAACCAGCCAGGGTACTTCCCCACACACCAGCCAGGGTACTTCCCCACACAAACCAGCCAGGGTACTTCCCCACACAAACCAGCCAGGGTACTTCCCCACACAAACCAGCCAGGGTACTTCCCCACACAAACCAGCCAGGGTACTTACCCACACAAACCAGCCAGGGTACTTTCCCACACACCAGCCAGGGTACTTCCCCACACAAACCAGCCAGGGTACTTCCCCACACAAACCAGCCAGGGTACTTACCCACACAAACCAGCCAGGGTACTTCCCCACACACCAGCCAGGGTACTTCCCCACACAAACCAGCCAGGGTACTTCCCCACACAAACCAGCCAGGGTACTTCCCCACACAAACCAGCCAGGGTACTTCCCCACACCAGCCAGGGTACTTACCCACACAAACCAGCCAGGGTACTTTCCCACACAAACCAGCCAGGGTACTTCCCCACACAAACCAGCCAGGGTACTTCCCCACACAAACCAGCCAGGGTACTTCCCCACACAAACCAGCCAGGGTACTTCCCCACACAAACCAGCCAGGGTACTTCCCCACACAAACCAGCCAGGGTACTTCCCCACACAAACCAGCCAGGGTACTTCTATTCTGTCAACTGAGTACAAGAATCTCTCATTAACCTATTTCAACTATCCAATAAGGTAGTCAGAAATCAGTAATTTAGCCAATTTCACACAAATTTCAAGAGATGCCAATTTCAAAATAGAGCCCTAAATAAACAATGCAGACAATCCTAGCATTAAAATAATATTTTCTCTGTTCATTAGTCACATCACAAGGCCCCTCTTATATTACG